AGAGAGAGAGAGAGAGAGAGAGAGAGAGAGAGAGAGAGAGAGAGAGAGAGAGAGAGAGGGGGGGAAGGATCCTTGCACTTACGGGTGAGTAAAGTGTTCAAACAGCCATTTGCGAAGGATGTAAACCGAATGTTCGGGCAGTCCTCTCTCCGTCAGGCAGCTTGAGGATACATTTCTCGAATGGGACCCCAATTGACCAACCCGGGAAACCCCTTCTCTGAGGCTATCGAGGTTGCGTTCAAAGGTATGACCAGTTTCCACACCTGGTGCCAAACCAGGTTCAAACTCCACTGGCAGACCACCAAGACCAGGTACTGAACAAGCTTCAAAATCCGGACCAGATACCAATCTCAGTGAACCTTCTGATTGGTTAAGTTCCGGAGCAGTCCCACCCGTGGCATGTGCACCAACAGGTTGCCAAGCTCGTTCACAGGTATGTTGCCAAGGACCGCAAGCCACCCCTGGTCTCCGTACTCGTCCCGCTGGTTCAGGACCTCTCCCGAGACCAAGTCCCGCTGTTTCAGGAGCTGTAGTATAAATGGGTGTGAAATGTTGTCTCGCCGGGCCCAGTGGTGCTGGACCTGCTGGTTGATGAACTTGATGTACTGGTCCCGGTCCCATCAGCAGAATGTCTCCAGCAGGACCCGGTCTCAGATCTCGTCCTGGGCGTTGTGTCAGCGGCAGACCCGTGTCTGAACGGGCTTGCAGTTTCAGACCTGGTGCCAAATGAGCGCCTGCTGGCCCACACTGGGCTCCAAGATATCGTCTGGAACCAGGTCCAACTGCTCCTGGTCTCTGATCCTGGCCTGCACCTGGTCTAACTGGCAGACTAGGTTCTGGAAAACCAGGTTTCACAACGCCACATCTTCTTTTTGGACCTGCTGCCAGATAGACCCCTGCTGGGCCACACTGGGCCCCAAGATATTGTCCCGAGACTGGTTCAACTGCTCCAGGTCTGTGATTCTGGTCTGCACGTGGTCCAACTGGCAGACCAGGTTCTACACTAGTTTTGAGTCTCTTGACAGGACCACCTCCTCTGTTAAGCCCTCCTGGACCGGGCCACGATCGAACACATGTGGGATCAGTGACACGTGTGGGACGATCCAACGGCGAGGAGCTGCAGCTGACGCCTCCAGCAGATGTGCTGTGCGCTGAAAAGACTTTTGCGAAATGCTTAAGGATTTGAAAGCGAAGTCTATGGAAACTTGCGGACACTGCGCGCCTCAGGGCTTGAATCGCTTTCCGGCGACCAGTCGCTCCCTGGTCCATCGTCGTCCCCTGCAGTTCAGACCATAGTTGATCTATCTTGTGAAGGTACCGTTCCTCTTCTCCCATAACCTAAAGCATTGAACAGACAAAATGGAGAAGATTGGGAAAAAGAGAGCATAGCAAAATTCAATGGCATCATCAAGGCTCTCGCAGTAGAAGAAAACAGACTAAAGCCGTGCAGGAGGAAGCAGAACAGTCCTAACAGTCGCTAAATCCGGGGAGAGAGAGAGAGAGAGAGAGAGAGAGAGAGAGAGAGAGAGAGAGAGAGAGAGAGAGAGAGAGAGAGAGAGAGAGAGAGAGAGAGAGAG